CGACCGCCTTCGTCATGGAGTAGATATTACCCTACCAGAAAGAAAAATTGAGAGATTTTACAGTGCTAAAGGTCCCTGAATTTTTTCAATACGAATTTGCTAATTTAGGCCGAAAAACAGGAGATCCTTATTCAACTTGAACAGGAACGCGATGGAAACGCTGAGATTGAGGAAAGAAGCGCTAAATTATTGGCACAGAAGGCTGATGTTGAGAAGCAGGTGCTTAGAACGATCGAATCACTTTGAGACCAAGTTGCTTAATTTTGGCACTTTTTAGAACACAGACCTTGCTGACCAACTAGCTGACCAAGAAGACCGTAATGCTGCTCTTACAAAAGCTAAGAAGAAGGTCGAGACTGGTTTTGTTATTTAGGTCAAAAAATGTGTGTGATTCTTAGGTTGAACAAGACAATGATGCGCTAAAGAAGACAGTATCCGAACTGGAAACGACTATCAAAAAACAGGAGCAAGAGAAACAAAGTAAAGATCATCAGATTCGTAGCTTGCAGGTAAATTCTTTGAGAGGCCTCCTTACCGGGAAAACGATGATTTTTTTCAGGATGAGATTGCTTCCCAAGATGAAGCCATCTCCAAGATCAACAAAGAAAGGAAGAACCAAGAAGAGGTTGGTTTTTTGTTTTCTTTAGGACAAGAGTAATATCTGCTACTTTCAGGTCAATCGCAAACTTCTAGACGACATTCAAGCCCAAGAAGACAAAGTGAACCACATCACAAAAGTGAAAGCGAAACTCGAATCCACACTTGACGAAGTGGAAGATGCGCTTGAGCGAGAAAAACGCAGTCGACAAGATGCCGAAAAATTGAAGCGGAAAGTCGAAGGAGAGCTAAAGGTTGATAACTATTTTTTACTCAGCGGTAGATTGATAGGGTAAGGAAATTCTTATTTGTTAGTGCTACTACGTCAGATTTTGACCAGAAATAAGTTTTCTTGGGTGGGCTAACACATTAACGACAAGGCCATTCGATTGCCATTTCGGACCAGGGCATATTTCGCTTTAGAGTTTGTGTAATATTTTCTGTCCATAGGTCCTATAGAAGAAATGTAAATCATTTGAGAAGTATCTTAAGAGAGGTACAAGAAGTTTGTTCAGTTTGCCGCGGAAGTTTCATCGTAAACTACGAGATCAAAAACATCAGAAAGCATACGGCCCATCGGTGGGTCCTATTGCCCGAATCGGCAGGACACGTACGACCCACCGGTGG